GTCCCTCTAAATTTCCTGGGTACTTTATCTTGCCCATTTCAAATAGGATTGGGACTCAATTTTCCATGCTTCATGTCACTTTGCTGCGGAATTCCACACTTGATATAGACACATCATAAAACTGCAGAACGAGCAAAATATAATTCGTCAAAACTTTTTCCTCCCTCCGGCTCTTTGTCATTTCCGAGATTTGTTTCTCCTTCGAAATCCTTTGATTCGTCGTGAGAGATCGGCACCATGGCATTGGGCAGATGGAGGTGTCGATCAGAAAGAGGTGCTGTCGTCGGATTGGTGTTGAAGCGAGTAGGTGGTTTCACAGTGGCAAGTGACAGCACCTATTAATTTGGCCATTTAATTTTAAGTCCAACAGCGTCAGGCTCCAACACCTTCAATCTCTCCCTGTCATTCAAAACAAGCCTCTAGCCGGCAGCCACAAACATATACACACACACACACACACACACATACACACACACACATAGAGGAAGCAAAAAGGCTTTTAATCTAAAGCTGAAACTTAGCCTGGTCCTTTGCTGAGAATGCAAGTACCCAGGAAGAAGCCTTTAAATCAATCAAACTTATACCCTACCACATTTCAAACTGCCGCTGTGACATCTTGGCGATACTTAGGGACAGATGTAAGGGTGTGTAAAATGACTGCAATTGCAAATTGGGTTCTCTTGTCATAAAGTAGAGGTCCAACAGACCTGAATATCTCGGGTAATGGGCAGATTGATCCTCCCTCTGTGAAGCTTGGGATTGAAGTTGGAGGTTTATGACAGTATTGTCAGTGAGAAATGGACTGCAACAGAGAAATGTGACACCACAGTCTAAATTCATGAGTTTTTCTCTCCCACCTGAACCTGTGCTCCTGCTGCGAACACCCGCTCCCATCACAGCTTCAGTAGGGGGATTGTCTTCAAGGTCAAACTTGTCTTTTAACTCACATATAGTTGGCAAACTTTATTTCCATTATCTACCTAAAGTATGCCGGGTGGATTTATTACTCGATAGCATGTGTGTGCATTTAATCAGAGAGGTCACATCATGTAACTTGATTGAATTGTATTTTTATTTTTGGATTCAATTTGAAGGATCTGTTTTGGAAGACATTTTGGTTTAATTTGTCAAGGTTTTAATATTGTCGTTACACCTGAAATACTTTCTACAGAAAAAAAAATAGTCTCTCTTCTTTTCACAGTAAGGCCTGTTGCTTATTTGAAATAACTTGACACTGTGCCTAGAAAAGACATGTTTTTGTTGATTTTTTTTTATTTTAAGAATGATACCAAATATATGAGTCCGACATTAGGGGAAATTCATCTGAAATGATGCCCAAAATATTAAGAATATTCCCATTTGATGAAATAGTCCAGCCATGAGAAACATTGATTCTTGGGTTTTAATATTTCACTCAGTGTAAGCATACAGCTTTAAAGAGTTATATATATATAATGTCTGACAGCGTGGAATAGGGCTGGCTGTGCAGACTTAATACATGTATGGTATTGACCAAAATAATTCAGTATAAAAACTTCTCCAGTCCAACGTTACGTGCATTCGATCCTTTTTGTACCCAGAACCTAAGGTGTTCTTTGATTTGATGCAACCTGTGATTGGCCCATAATGCAACTTCAGCAAGCAGCTACATACAGTCTGTTATGTTAAAGTTGTTTGACATTACCAAAATAAAAGGTTTCCAATGACAAATGAAAAGTACTTTAAGGATACTAGCAAAATAAAAACTGTGATAAACTGTATGTCAAGGAAATACAGTGTGTTTTCTTTTAATTTGGGTGAAATGAGCCTTTAAATCTTGATCTTCTTAAATCTAAAGCATTTTTTCTTACAGCAAAGATATTGATCGTCTTGTTTAATTCGTGTTACTTAAACCTTGTCAGGATGATTGACCACCTCCCTTCAGCAGCATTAATTGCTGTCTGGCAGTCCCGCAGCTTAAAGTGCGCTGGCAGTGACAGAGCTTGTGGAAATACTGTGGACAGTGACCCGACCAACTCCCTCTGCCACCTCACTGTGGCAGCTTCTTCTTATAATGGAGGAAAGGATTTAGAGACTGCAGCCCTCCAAAGTTGTTCCAGTCCAGGGAGAGACATGTGGCTTGATAAGTACAGCTCCTGCACAGTGGCATGAAATGAGAAACTATCCATCATAAGTCATGGCGGTCGGTTGACAGAAGGAGATGCGCTGGCAAATGTGAACCCATGGATGTGCTTAGATTTTAGCATGAAAGCATATTTGCAACATTGTTGTTTTTTCTTAAGCAGCATGGTGAGCTGTTTATTCAGAAGTAAATGCATATAACTGAAGTTGCATTTATCCACCAGATGGCAGTGTTTGTTTGGTTTTAGAACATTGAATGTTCTTAATTTAACTACATGGAATGTTAGAGTTGTAGTTATTGTCTTTCTAGCTGTTAAGCTTTTATCTTACATTGCTTTTTTATGAGTTTTTAGTGCACAAAAGGGAGGATTAATCAGAATACTGAAACAGTTTCCTAACACTGGCTTCCAGGAATCCCCCACAGTGACTCCATGAGAATTGTGGGCCAAATAAAATGCTGCTGAGACTACTCTAAACCCTTGTTCTGTTTTGTGATCAGGAAACACAGTAAGTAAAACTACAAAGTAATTCTTCTTAGCATACGGACTTATTTTGCTTCTTTTGTACTCTGGAAGATTGTGTGCTGATATCAGCCGGTCCTTCCCAACAAGCAGAAGACTGCACACAGCTCTGCCCTCTGCTGCCCAGCTGCAGGGCTGATCTGCTCAGGCTTCAGAGAGCACACCGCCTGCTGCATTTAACTCTTCATAGGGAAGCCCTAGGAATAATCATATTTTTTATGATCTCTATGAACAATATGATGGGGTAATCTAATAAGGTGATATGGCTGGAGGGCCAAGCCAGACCACACTGCAAGTCCAGGAAGTGCGTTATCATTCATTTTTACATTGTTAATAATCAGTTTGAAGATGATCCACATATTCAGTCCACCTTAAAATGTACTGCATCAGTACCCTCAGGATTTCCTGCAGTTTGACAAATCTTGCTGCTCAGCCTCTTTTTCTTCTTAATCACATCACTACAGTGCCTGAAAATTGAATTGCATTTCTGGGTCCTGTGCCAGAGTCTGAGATGGATTTGATCTGCAGAAACACATGGCAGCATTTTTTTCCTTTTATGAAACCTTTCTTGGAAATCAATGGTAAAATATTTTGCAGAGCCACGGCAGAGCTGGAGTCTGTACTACCTGTGTATGTGGGTTCGCAGTTGAGTAATCCAGTCATGCAGTGGTTGGGTGTGTTTTTAATCTTTTTAGGAAGCGCTCTTAATTGAAAAGTAAATCTGAGCTGAGTTGTTTTGCTGCAGGAAGGCTGTGAATATATCAGATGAGGATGTTTGTATTTCATGAGGCTTTAAAGCTTCTCTCAAAGTAGTTGTGCCTCTTCCTGGAATTTGTCTGTTATGTGGGCTGTGATGAGTGGATGAGTTGTCCTCTGTTTTTCACTGTGCAAGGCTGAAATCCCAGCATGCTCAGCTTGTTAGGCGTGACAGGGGGATGTGTTCTGTATCCTGTGAGGCCAAATAAAATCAAATCAGATTACAGATTCCTGGTCTGTTGTGTATAAAATGACTCTTCCTTTGCTGGGACTGCAAATAAAGCTGAGTTATGTCGTATCATGCCAGCCAGTGACACAAAATAACCGTTTTTATTGTGTTTTTATTTTGTTTTCTTTCTTTCCTATGTAAAGAGAGTATTATCATTTTTATTATTATTGTTTCATGCTTTCAAGACTTGCTTTTTATGTCTGGTAACTCTAACTCTGTTTTTTATTACACATTTCTACATGTCGAAGTGAAAGGATTAGTCAATAATCGATTAACTATTTAAATTCAAAAATCTATTCGATGGAGTATCCTCAGGCTCATTATATGGGACATTTTAAAAATGCAAGTTTAGTCTGTTTTAGGTGGTATAAAAGTCTTATGTGCGCAGCAATATCTCACTTGTGTGTGAGTATATATGTTCATTTTAATGCTCATGATGTTATTTTAACTTATTAATATAACTGCAGGTATTATATATCGTTGCCACTGAAAATTACTATCGGTAAGTTGCAGAATCAGTGGAAGAAAACAACCAATTGGGTTTAAATGGAAAACAAATGAGCATCACTTGTCACCTGTCACATGAAAGCTGGTGGCAAAAAAAAATAAGATTGAAAGCCTCACTGAGTCATGTCAGACAGATTAATCTTCTTATTTTATGCTCCATCAAAAGCTGCCTCCTTGAAAATGTGCCAGGCCTGTCAACTTTTCCCTGTCTTTCCCTCCACATGGGGGCACTCTTGTTCTCTACATAACACGACTGTAGACCTAAATGGAGGCAAAGATAAGAAACTAATAGAGACACTTGAGCACACTCCATCTGCAAAGTCATGATTAAGTTTCGACCGCAAACCTCTGATATCTAATCTGTTAATGTTGTTCGCGGCTGTTTGGTACATCAGCAGGTCTCTGGGCTCACTTGTAAGGCACAGACCTATTAGTCCCTGAACGTTTATCAGCGGTCACTTTCTTCTCTACCACGAGGGAGGGAAAAGAGGGAGACGGGATATCGCAGATGCTGAGCTCCTCTCCCGTCTTTCGGCTCCGGATCATGAAGGCTTCATTCAGTCTCCAGTAACCCACACTGGTTTGTCTTTGCATCAGTCTCGCATCAAGTTGGGAAAGTGTGGGGAACTGCGTCGCTGCAGCATCGGTGAGACCCGACCAGTGAGCCTGAAAGTACGTGATGTGAATCCTGAACCCAGCTTGGAGTGATTTCTCAACTGAACTAGAGCATCGTCTAATCGAATCACCTCAGCCATTACTCTTTGACCTCCTCTAGCTTGGACTTTCTTTTTTTAAAATTTGCATTTATTGATTGAGAACTGAGACAAGTTATTCTTTCTGGGTTGTTGTTGTTTTTTTGGGGGGGACAAATAGTCGAAATGGCATCACTGTATCAGAGATTCACCGGCAAGATCAACACAAACAATTCCTTCCCCAACCCTCCAGAGGCGAGCCATCTCCTCGGGCAAGGTGTGGAGGGGGAGCGGGCGGCGGAGAGCCAGCCACCCCGCATTCAGCATCAGTACAGTCGGCACTGCGAGGACGAGGATGTAAGAAACTTCTCACCTTTTTGCTTGTCCGATTACACGATAGAGCCATTTGTAAATGGTCACATCTGAACCAGCAGGCTCTTTCGCACAGTAACTGACTTTAAAATGGCAAGATGTGTGTTCTAGAGTTCGTAAAAGAATGAATCTACTTAATGCCCTTTTTGCTGTTAATTGCAACTCTCCCTTTCAAAGGCAAAGTTGTCTAACTTCTGCGTCATTGCCTCAATTGGTTGGCTTGTCTGTCAATACATGACGCGTCAGTTACGTCCGTTGTAAAGCAACGCACGCTCAGTGGCGCTGTCTACATCTTTCAGTCAGTATTTTAACACCACACATACACTATTGTTGGATGTTGATCATAATGATGTGAGTGGTACTGTTGTTTACATTATGGCACACAACCCCCCCTCCCCCCCTCCCACAGCCGACCTGTTTCTGTCAGGATCTTCCGTAATCATCATCTGT